TTTTTTTTTTTTTTTTTTTTTTGGTACTGGGGATCGAACTCGGGACCTTGCACTTGCAAGGCAGGTGGCGGCACCACTGAGTTCTTGCCTTATTCTAAACAAGCTGTGCAGTTTCCTGTGACCACACCTCAGTAACAATGTTCTTTCTGCTTAGCACCTTTGTCCTCAGTGTTCACCCGCCTGTTTGTTGTTTTGTTTTACTTTGTTTTTGCAAAATAAAATAAAATAGGTTCCCTGAGGAGGGAACCTAGGGCCTTGCACATGCTAATCATATGCTCTACCACTGAGCTATATCCCCAGATCCACTTTCACCTCTTGAACTCTTCAACAGCCGGCCCCTTTCTGAGACAGATCTTTCTATGTAGTCCTTGTTACATAGCCCAGGCTGGCCTCAAAGCATGATCCTCCGAGCCCAGCTGCCTGAGTGCTACAATTATAGGCATGCTGCATCACGCCCAGCTCCCAGTCTCACCATTTTATGTCCAGCCTAAAAATGCTCATCTTCACCATGAAGCCTTCTCTCACTGTCCCCCTAACCAGCCCCTAGAAGCTGGTACCACCCTTCTGCAGATCCCACCACACTTAGTGCGTTCTACTCTCCTGGACTACCTCATGATGTCTTATAGTTTCCTTGCTGAATCACCCATCAACACTAGAAAGGGGCCAGCTTTTGGGTTTTTTTGTTTGTTTGTTTTGGGTTTTTTTGTACTCTCAGTTGACACACAGTAAGTTTGTTTGTTTTTTGGTTTTTTTGAGATAGGGTCTCACTATGTAGTTGAGATTGACCTGGAATTCACTATGTAGTCAGTCCAGGCTGGTCTCGAACTCACAGCGATCCTCCTGCCACAGCCTCCCGAGTGCTGGGATTACAGGCGTTTGCCCATGCCTGGCTGTAGTCAGTCCAGGCTGGTCTCGAACTCACAGCGATCCTCCTGCCACAGCCTCCCGAGTGCTGGGATTACAGGCGTTTGCCACCATGCCTGGCGACATACAGTAAGTGCTCAGTGTTTGCTGAATGAATTGATAAGAGCATTATAACAAGTCAAAAAATAATGTCACTTTAACACATCCTGTTGCAAGAAACAGGGATCTTTGGGAATACACAAAGAAAGAACAGGATTACAGAAATATATAAACTCACTTAGACTTTCAACTCTCCTGAATGTGTGCATTTTTGTTAATTTTAGCATCCCCAGGCCAGGATGTAGCTTATTGGCACCACAGCTGCCTAGCAAGCACTACCTAGTTTAAAACATCTGTACTTACGAAGTAGCTGGAATTTGTCACCGTGTCTTGATCTTCATTTGTCCATCTGTGGCCTTGATGGAACGCATCTGATATCCCAGGTAAAAACATCCAGAAATCTGACTTTTAGTACACTGTGCAGTGCAACCCAAGGGAATGCCACATAACAGAAACTGCCCAAGCATTGACCTTGTGCCACGCAGGTCTCTTATAAGAGAGATGTCAAATCCTTAGCTTGCAGAATCACTAGAGGAGGCTGGGAGTGATGATCTCAGAAAGGCACAGATCTGGGGAAAAAAATAAACATCACTGGAGTTTTGTTTTGTTTTGTTTGTTTGCTTTTTTGGCATTTATATTCCTAAAATCTTGCCGTGGAAGAGCTTTTTCCACAGCATTCACTGATGAATGGAAGGGTTGTTTCACAGCTTCATCCCCACCCCCAGGCAGAAGTGCAGAACTTGCTTTGGCAGCCAGGGAACTATGTTTCGGGAGATCTGGAAAGAATGGAAAAGGGAGTTTCACAGAGGAGCTTTCGGTGGTCTCTGGGGTCAGGCTTTCTGGGCTGGGGCCTGGCACTAGGCAGTTTCTAGTTTGGTGGACTTGATAGAGCAAAAGTTTCTATGGCAGAGTTGCAGGAAGGATTAGATGGTAGAGCACAAGTGAAGTGCTGAGCATGGTGTCAATTACATTACTCTAACTATGACAAGAATTCAGGAAATGTTAGGTCTTTGTCAAAAAAAGCCCACTAGGGCCGGGGATTTAGCTTAGTGGTGCCGTTGCCTGCCTTACAAGTGCAAGTTGCCGAGTCTGATCAGTACCAAAAACACAAGAAAAAACTTACTCAGGTTGGAGCTTATCTTTATAACTCTGCCCACTCCCAATAGCTCTACATTGATCTCTGTGGCATCAGAGTTCCCAGAGAAATGAAAAAAGAGCAAACTATCAGCTTTTGATCAAGGAAACAGCAGAAATAACAAAGACAAGGAAAAGAAAACAGGCCACATCCACAGAACATCTGGCTATGCAACCAGCTGCAGCATAAAAATAGATCTGCAAGCTCAAGTGGGAGGGAAAGAAGGGGAAGGGGATGCGAAAAGAACTAAGATGTGTTATGTGCAGGTACCAGCTCCCCATGATGGATGCAATCATGCACTACAAACATAAAATAAATAAAAAAAAAAAGATCTGGCCCTCCCCTGGCTGCGCTGGGAGAGGAAAACCAAGCATGCGTTCAAACTGCTAGGGCAAGCCAGGCATGGTGGTGCAGATCTGTAATCCCAGCATTTAGGAGGCTGAGGTGGGAGGGTTGCCTGTGAGTTCAAGACCAGCCTGAGTGACAAAGTAAAATTTTGTCTCAAACAAACTCACACAAAACAAAACAAAAAGTGCTAGGGCAAAACACGAGCTGAGACAGACCTCAAGTTGGAGTATGAGATACAGACAATCTCAGGATTTGGGGGCTTAAAAAATGTGAGATACTCTAAGAAACAGGACAAATTATTATAGTGATTTCCCAGTAGATATTAAATGGTACTGAGACTGAAAAAGCCACTGAATGTGATGAATTCGTTTCTGGAACACATGCTGAAGGCCCACTCTGTACTGATTCACCAAACAAAGCAGTTCTCTACATAGACACACATCAAGGCTCCCACGGAGCTCACATTCTCGGACTGACATAAGGAACAGCTACAGGAAGACATTCTGAGTCAGAGCGTGAGGAGTGTGATGGACAGAAAAACCAGGGTCACAGGCCCCAAACTTCAGTTTTAAAAGCTACAGGATGGCGTACACCTGTAATCCCAGCACTTGGAAGGCTGAGGCAGGAGGATCGCTGTGAATTCGAGACCAGCCTGGGCTACATAGTGAGTTCCAGGTCAATCTCAACTACATAGTGAGGCCCTGTCTCAAAAAAACAAAACAAAAATAAATAAATAAATAAATAAATAAATGCTACAGGAATGACAGCACGTAGACAACAGGATTACATGACACCCTCAGGATACATCAGATAAATCCAGAAGATCAGGAATCTGTAAGAAAGCAGGCCTGAATTCCTAAAAATGTCAAAGTTGTTAAAAACAAAACAAGACGAAAAACTCATGCAAAGTAAAAAGAGTTAAGAAGGGTTGGAGGTATAGCTCGGGGATACATCATGTGCTTAGCATGTGCAAGACCTTGAGCTTCACCTCTAGCACACACATACACAAAGTTAACAATCAAAACCTGGGGGTGAGGCCCTAGAGGTTCTAGACTAAAAAGTTAAAAATCACATTCAGCAAATAAGCACTGATTAAATCCTGGGCCAGGGGAAAAAGAAATGATAAAAAATATTTGATGACAAGGAAGGATATTTAAATATAAACTGAATACTTGCTATTAGGGGATTATTCTTAATTTTTAAATTTGTTAAATTAAAAAATGTTCAGTTTTCTTAGCCAGTTCATATTACATCCCTACTTGTGGATATGTAAGAAATTTTTATTCTTAGGTAATCTGTGGTTAAATGTACAAAAATAAAGCAACTACTGAAAACTGTTAATTATTGAATCTAGGAAGAGATATATATTCAGTTGCTCATTTGTACTAATCTTTTCAGTTTTCTGTGTAAATTAAAACATTTAAGACAGGTATATTTGCACACACCTGTAATTCTAGCACTCTGGGAAGTGAGGCAGGAGGATCATAAATTCGAGCAGTCTGGACAATTTAGTGACTAAGAGCCTGTCTCCAA